CCATTTGCCCTGTTGTTTCCTCACACCCTTTTTCCATCAAAAAAGAGCATTTAGGGGCTGGGATTGTGGCTCAGCAGTGGAGCACTTGCCTAGCACATTCAGGCCCTGGGTTCCATCCTCAGCACCACATAAAAACAAATAAATAAAATAAAGATATTGTGTAAAAAAAAAAAAAAAACATTTAATTCCCACATGTTCATCCTGTTTTGTTCATATCTCCTGTGAGCTTTTATTATTTACTGTTTTCTATTTGAAGTGAACTCAACTCCTCCATCTTTTTTAACTGTTTCCAGGCATTTTTCTTTCTCCTCCTTTGAAATTCCAGACTGTTTATTTGAAATGGCTACATACAATATATATTAACTTATAAATATCTGATTCCTGGAAAGTCTTCCTGTTGTTGGACTGCGAGGAAGACTTTAGCAAAAAGAGGACAAGTTCCTTGTGGGGATATATATATAATTATTATTATCTTTTATACTTAACTGAGCAATATGTCATTATCCCAGAATGAGCACTGTCCCAAAGGACCAGTGATGTTGGTGAAGGGTGTACTAAAGAGAGGTGAGGAAGGGAAGTTGTGGCGAGGGAATGGGAAGAGTTTTTTGTTTGTTTTTAATGTATAGTTAAAGTATATTAGTTTTTTCTGTGTATAATGTAGGTAAACAAATCTGGTAAATAAAGAAGTCTGAGGGCAGAGAAGTAACTTGGCTATATTTCTGATTTCTGTGGTGAAGAGGATTGCTTGGATTGGTGGGACAGTTAGTGCTCATTATCTTCATCTTTCTCTGTGGAAATATGTGCATTCTAGTTGAGCAAGACTCACTGTACTTGCAAGATAGAGCCAGATTTGGACATAGAATGAGGAGGTAGCAGTCTGCCAAAAATTTCAAATGCCTCTTGGCTATGGATAGATCCAGGTCTTTTAAGGAAGGACTTGGATTTGTTTCATATTCAATTAATGTGTTGGTGCCAAGGGATACATATTTGAGGCCTGAGAACCATGAAATTTGCCAGTGTGGTACTGGAAGCAAAAGTTCAACCGAAGAAAATAGAATTGTTTTACTTTTATCCCTGAGTTATTTTTCTTTAACTGCTCCATTTTCCAAACTGGGAAACTGAGGCTGAGAGAGATTGTTACTAGTGGCAAAGATATTTGTTATTGAGGTGAATCTTTTTTGGTGGTGCTAGGGATTGAACCCAGGACCTTGTGCATGTGAGGCAAGCACTGAGGTATATCCCTAGCCCCACTGAAGTGAATCTTATGGAATTGTAGCTCATTCCTTGATCTGCTTTTAGTTGGCTCTTAGCTAAGGTGATCTCACAACTGGTAGATCGGACTGTTTTTAGGTTTTTGTTCCTTAGGAAAAACTGATATCTGCTGGGTAACAAAACTTAGGTTTTCTCTGAGATATGGCTTGGTTTTTAGTCATTAATGAAAGTGATGATATATATATGCATTGTTTTTTAGAGCTTGTTTTCAATAATATTCCTCAGAAGGCATGATGACATTTCAAACACATTTCTAAATCTTTTCATTTGGAGAACATATTGTGCCTCCCACCTGCAGGGATATAGTTAGAATGGCTTCCAGTATTCCAAGTTAACTTGGACCAGAGAGAGTGCTTCAGGTAGTTCTGCAAGCAACTGGGTTGATTTTGTTTTAGTTTTACTTTGTTGCAGGGAGTTTAGTTTTTTTTTTTTTTTTTTTAAATCACTATCTACTTATCAACAAAGAGTCCCCTGAAGGTTAACTTTTGCTTCCAAAAAATGCTCCTTTGTGCATGTGTGACCTCACCCCCCTTTCTCCCACTCCAACTGAGTTACACCCCCAGTTCAAAGGAGCTGTGCTCTAATATAGGAATTATTGATTCATTTATGTACTAATGTTGCTAGATCATTGAATTGAATCTCTGGGAACACCTCCATGACCTGGTGAAGCAAAATCCTGGTAGTCTGAGGAATGCACATCCGGCTAGCCTCTAGCGTCCCCAAATTATATGTGTACTTCAAACCTTCAAGTCACTCACATGCTGCCTCTTAGTTTCTCATCTGGTGGATGATGTCATCTTATCTTGGGCGGAAATACTTCTGCTCTGAAAGCACAGGGAGAGGCTCTGCCATTAAGGCCAATTCTGTTTTGTCCCACATGCTGGCGATGGAGAAAGACCTAACTCATTTCAGAGCTATTCAGTATGAAACTCTGTTTAAATTATCTTGTCCTGGGCTGGGCCTATAGCTCAGTGGCAGAGCACTTGCTTAGCATGGGTGAGGCACTGGGTTTGATCATTAGCACATATAAAAAAATAAAATAAACAAAATAAAGGCATTCTGTCCATCTATAACTACTTTTTTTTTTTTTTTTTTAATCATCTCCCTGCTGGGCGCTGTGGCACACGCCTATAGTTTCAGTGGCTCAGGAGGCTGAGACAGGAGAATTGTGAGTTCAAAGTGAGCCTTAGCAATGGTGAGGCACTAAGCAACTCAGTGAGACCCTGTCTCTAAATAAAATACAAATAAGGCTGGGGATGTGACTCAGTGGCCGAGTGCCCCTAAGTTCAGTAACACCCCTCCACCCCACCCCACTCCCCCCAAAATTATCTCCTCCTTTAAGGTTCGCACATTTCTCCCTCTGAAATTTGTTTGCCTTTTTCATACCTCTCAGGATCACACTGTTTTTTTCTCTTTTTCCTTTTATGTTTTCTTTTTCTTTCTTTCTTTAGTGCTGGGGATCTATCACTGAGCTATGTCCTCAGCTACATCCTTCTTTTTATTTATTCTCCCTAAATTGCGTAGGCTTGCTTTGACTTGTGATCCTCCTGCCTCAGCCTCCTGCTTAGCTAGAATTACAGATGTGCACCATGTGCATGGTCCTTCTTTGCATTTTTTTTTTTAATTCCTCTCAATAGTGGATTTTTGTTTCCAATGGCTCAATAGTAGTAAGCAGATTTATGGAGAATCACAGTGGTGTTTTGCCAAGTGACTAGTAACCAGCCCTTCCAGTACCTTTTTCTTCATAAACCCGAGGTAGGGTGGGGCCAAGGACCAAAATGGAATGCTTCCCTGAAACTAGTACAGAGTTGCTCAGAAAAATTTTCTGTAACCCAGTGTGATGATTCAGCTTTGTATTTTAGCAATAAGTGACTGGGTTGTCTCTACTTTGGCATTTGGCTTGACTGGTTCAGCTGTTCTGAAATTACTTCAGTAACATTTGTGATTTCCCAACTTTTTTTCATAATTTAAAGGCTGTTTCCCCCCCTACCATGTCTTGGCATCTGTGAGATATGCCAGAATTGGGTATCCCTGTTTTATTTATTTATTTATTTATTTTTAGAGTGAGAGAGAGAGAGAGAGATTTTTTAATATTTATTTTTTAGTTCTCGGTGGACACAACATCTTTGTTTGTATGTGGTGCTGAGGATCGAACCCGGGCCGCACACATGCCAGGCGAGCGTGCTACTGCTTGAGCCACATCCCCAGCCCCGGGTATCCCTGTTTTAAATAAGTCATTTGATATTTGAGGAATATGGTTCCCCTGTTCAAAGTGAACCTCTTATATGGGTTAATGTACTTTCATTCAAGTTGTAGTAGTATGTACCAAAGTAATATATAGTTGAGAAAAACTACATAAAGGAGGGGCCGGGTTGTAGCTCAGTGGGCAGAGCGCTTGCCTAGCATGCTTGAGGCACTGAGTTCAATCCCTGGCACCACATAAAAATACACAATTAAATAGATGTTAAAAAAAAAAAAAACTACATATAGGAATTAGGGTTATTTTTAGCTTGGGATTGTCAACAGCATTCTAGGCATTTTTTTTTATTTAAATTTTTCTTCTTCTAGCTTTTCTTTGCCAGCAGTATAACATGATCCCATAAGCTTGAGTTATGTGTATGTGAGGGTGGGGGTGGGGGGCAGGCTGTTGAGTAGTGGCATACTGGGAATTATGGGTTATAAAGCAAAGCGAGGTTTCAAGCAGGAGCCTAAAGAAATGTCTTTCTATGGTCTGTTGGCAGTTTCAGAACTTTAGAAGTATAATAGTCAATTCAATAGAAAGAAACATCTGAAGGGGGGAAAGAAAAAAAAAAGAATATTTTAGTATGCCAATAAAAACATTTGCTGGAAAAAAAAGCAAAGAGAATAACAATACACATTCTTGTTGATGTTCTTTAATTGTTTAATTATGTAATGTACATAATAAATTTTTTTTGTTACAGTTTATGTAGTTAAAGAAAAATAGAAACTTAAAAAATCTGATCCCCAAAAAAGAGATGTTGTATTTTAATATTTTGGTATGTATTTTTCTGGGCGTTTTATACATGTGTAAGTGTATGTAAATTTATAGATAAATATTTTATGAAAAATTATATCAGGGTCTGGAAATGTACTTCAGTGATAGAGTGCTTGACTAGCATGCACAAGATGCTGTTTGGTCTCTAGCACCAATAAAAAGAAAGAAGAAAAAGATACCATACTATATTTTAAAAAACTTTTTTACTCAACAATTTATTATGATACCATAAATACACATCAAAATTATAGTTTATAATATTTTGTTAAACTATATTTTAATTGATAATACCTATCTCCTTGTTCATATAGGTTCTTTCCAGTTATGGTACTTAGACATTCATAGTTATTATATATAGTGCTATAGTAAACATCTTTATATATACATCTTTGGATAGAAGCCTGTATGTAGAGGAGCCTTATATCTGAAAAATTTGGCCAATTTGAATTCACTCAAGAGTAAAATGATTTGGAGTACAAGTTTTGTGACTACTCTAGGAATTTTTGTGCTAGAGCTGGTCCATCTATGTTTTTGGATACTTATCTGGAATTTCAAAAAATCACTTTATATTTCACAGTATGGTGCTAGAGATTGAGCCAGGCCGTGTTCATAATTTTAAACTTCATAGTTTTTTTTGTCTTTTCTTAAAATCTGCTGTTAAGCAAGTAAAATCCCAGAAGTAAGTGGTAACTTTCTGTTTTTTCCTCATTAGGTTTCAACTTTCTGTGCTGTGGGGTCAACCATAAGAGAGGTAGATCTGATGTATATCTGTGATGAAGAAGCATGAGCTCCTTGCAGTAACTAGCTGCTAGCTCCTCTTCCCCATAACAGTTGCATACTTTTTGTAGTGATAGTGCATGATGTTCTGAGAAGGCTGTGGATGTCTTGAAAACATTATTTGACTGTAGCTCCCATGTCCCTCTGCCTTCTCCAAAAAAAAAGTTGCTATCTTAACAGAGGTGTCTTTTCTCATAGTTCTTCTTGTTTTAGTAAACTAGTCTCAGCTCTTTTCAGTTTCCCTTTCTGTTGTACCTCTCATTTTCCTTTAACCTTTCCTATCATATAGATGGGACTTCACCATTAATAAAATAATAGATGCTAATATTTATTGAGCACTTACAATGCTAAGTCTGTACATGACATCTTATTTTTTTTTTTTTTATGGTGCTGGAGATTGAATCCAGGGCTTCAAAGAGCTCTGTCAGTGAACTACATCCCTACCTGCTATTTCTGAATTTTATGGATGTAATAATAAAGCCTAGAGAAGTTTTGACCAAATGTGCACAAGGTTGCTGTTTAGTAAATGATGAATCTAATATCCAAACCTAACAACTGAGGTGTTCTGATTGTAAAGCCTATATTGCTACCCACTGAGTTGTTATTGTTCCCCTTGCTGATTGGTTGTTTTGTTTTTGTTGGTGCTGGGGATTAAACCCAGGGCCTGTCACATGCTGGGCAAGTGCTCTACCGCTGAACTATACCTCTGACTCCCATTACTAATCTGAAAGTCTGTATGTGAACTAACTTGGCTTTATTTCTATACTTATTTATTTGGTACTGGGGATTGAACCCAAGAGTGCCGAACCATTGAGCTACATCCCTAGCCCCTTTTTATTTTTTATTTTAAGATAGAATCTCTTAAGTTGCTGAGGCTGACTTTAAAGTTGCAATCCTCCTGCCTCAGCCTCCTGAGCCACTGGGATAATAGGCATGTGCCATCTTGTGCGGCAAGATGGATAGCTAATTCTGTATTCAATTCCAAGATACTGAAAAAAAAATAAAACTTTTTTTTCCCATTACAAATACAGCAGCGACAAATCTTAATACTTTTAATAAGAACAAGTCATATATCAAAAAGTAAACTCTAGTCTGAGACAAATAGTACTTTGTTCTCCCCCCCCCCCATTAAAATGCTTGATGTCTTAATGCAGAGGCAAAGGTACTTCTGACCTGGTTGTGATGGCACTTACCTGTAGTGCCAGCTTTTCAGGAGGCTGAGGCAGGAGGATCACTTGAACCCACAAGTTCAAGAGGAGCCTAACCTGAGCAACAGAGTGACACCCCATCTCAAAAAGGACAAAAAAAAAAAAAAGGTATATTCTCCTGCTACTAGTGAGGACTTTAACATCTGTAAAGCTGTGAAACTGCTTTTTCAAGTATCAGACTTAACAGTTGCTCTTCTGGAGTACTGACCTGTCTACTACCACCACCCCTTCCTGCCTCTCTTCCCTCACACTGGGGATTGAACCCAGGGGTCCTCACCATTCAACTGCATCCTCAACTTTTTTTTCTCCCCAGTCTCTATACATCAGTTTTTATTGGAACACAGCCCTGCCTGTTCATTTACATATTGTCTACAGCTGTTTCATACTCAGATGAAGGTGGTTTGCTGGTTGGGCCAGAGACTCTATGGCTCTGGCCCTCTACAGCAAAAGGTTGCCAACCTCTGCTTTAGAGTTAGGTTTCTATCCTGTGTTTCAGCAAAGATTGGTCATGTGTGAAGTAGGAAGATGTGAGCCCCAGGCAGGGAGGGACAAGGAGAACAGGATCCATAGTTTGGACTGAAGAGACCAGAACTTAGTGATCCTAGAAAAGGGAAGCTGGAGTAAGGCAGCAGGAGCCAGCAAGGCACAGGGGACAGGCATAGGGAGGAGCATGGCACCCTTGCACACTTCATCAGCAAAGGGCCGGTCGATGCCTGCTTGTTCTACAGCTTCATTTTATAGCCTCCATGTAATTAGAACCTTAAATCTCAGTACCAGTTCACCACGGTTTCTGAATTGTCCCTGAGGTCAAAACGATGTTGGGGTGTCATCACGGCAGAAACTAAAAGCAGTTCTGTCTGGTGGCATGATAATGTAAGACAGAGACATCATTTTCAACTTTCTAATAACCTTGCTTTAAGAAATAAAAAGAAGCTGGCTAGCCGGGTACTGGGGCACATGCCTGTAATTCCAGAGACTCTCAGAGGCTGAGGCAGGAGGATCCCAAGTTCAAGGCTAACCTCAACAACTTAATGAGATCCTGTCTCAAAATAAAAGACCTTGGCACTTAGTAGTTAGAGCTCCCCTGATTTCAATTCTTAGTACCAAAGGGGGAGAGAGAGAAGGACAGGGGGAAGGGAGGGAGGGGTGTGTGTGTGTGTGTGTATGTGTGTCATCTGGTGAAATTAATTATGTTATTTATTTATTTATTGCTACCAGGAATTGAACTCGGGCACTAGACCACTGAGCCACATTCCCAAACCCTTTTTTTTTTTTTTTTTTTTAGAAAGAGTGTGAGAGGGGTTGGGGATGTGGCTCAAGCGGTAGCGCGCTCACCTGGCATGCTTGCAGCCCGGGTTCGATCCTCAGCACCACGTACAAACAAAGATGTTATGTCCGCCGAAAACTAAAAATAAAATAAATATTAAAAAAAAAGAAAGAGTGTGAGAGTCAGAGAGAGAGAGAGAGAGAATTTTTAAATATTTATTATTTATTTTTTAGTTTTTAGTGGTCACAACATCTTTGTTTGTACGTGGTGTTGAGGATCGAACCCGGGCCGCACGCATGCCAGGCGAGCGCGCTACCGCTTGAGCCACATCCCCAGCCCTCAAACCCTATTTTGTATTTTATTTAGAGACAAGGTATCACTTGAGTTGCTTACTGCCAGGCTTTTGCTGAGACTGGTTTTGAACTCTTGATCCTCCTGCCTCAGCTTCCTTAGTTGCTAGATTTATAGGCATATGCCATGTGCCAGGCTTTAATGAAGTATTTCACTTACTCCAACATATCACTATTGTCATTTCAAATGTAATCATTGCAAAATTTGCTAGTGAGAGATTCTTTGTTTCTCTTTCATATGAAGCCTTTGAAATCCCCCAGGTATTTTATAGTTGACATTCTATCTTGATTTGACAATTTCATGATGCTAAACTTCCATCAGAAATACTTGGTCTGTAGTTATAATTTATAAAATTAACACTGGAAAAAGAAGATAAGATTTAAATTATTTCAAGTATACTTAAGAATTTTTAAAAGAAGTCAAATCAAGTTTCAGTTTTTAAATGTAAATTTAAATCAATTGAAATTTAACAAAAAAAGAGAAGAAAGTGAACAAAATTTAAAATTCAATTCCCAGTTGTTCTTGCCACATTTCAGGTCCTGGATAGCCCTGTATGGTTGGTGATGATAGCATTGGACAGAATGGCTCTAGACAAATCCTAGGGCACAGGACTGCCATGCACGGCTCTCTGACACTTTCTGACAACAAAGGGTAACAATTAATATTTACAGCACATAATCACTCTCTTTTTAAACTCCCTGAGTCACAGGAGAGAGAATACATAGTATCTTCATCTTGTCTGTCTGCAAATGTGTCCCCTGGAAAAGGTATCTTACCTCCTGGAATTCTAAAAAGGTTACCAGGAAGGAGGACAACACAGTATTCAAAAGGCAAAGGTTCAGAAAAGTCCCCACATGGTTATGTTTCCCCACTCATTAAATCAATAACCAGGTCTTGTCAGCTTTCTCTATAAAATGTAAATGTTAGAGGACTATACTAAAGTATAGTCATCAAGGTTATATAGTAACTGGCATAAAAATAGACAATAGAATAGAACTGGGAGCCCAGAAATAAATCCATATATCAATCCACCCTGTCAATTTGTTTTTGACAGGGTGCCAAACTTATTCACTGGAGAAAGGGTAATCTTTTTAATAAACGATGTTGGAAAACTGGATGTCCACATTACAGAAGAATTGAGCCTCAAAAATTTACTTAAAATGTCAAAGACCTAAAGGTTAACAGCCAAAATTCTACACCTTTAGGAGAAAATAAAATGGTTGATCTTTGTGACCTTGGATTAGGTAACAGTGTCTTAGATTTAACACCAAAAGCACAAGCAAACAAAGTAAAAGAACAGATGAATTATGCTTCATCCCATTTTTAAGCTTAGGGTATTAAATGATACTATAATGAGGGAAAAGAAACCCATGTAACAGGAGAAAATACTTGAAAATCATATGCCTGTTAAGGATATAGTACCAAAAATGTACAAAGAACTTAAACAATGAAAAGAAAAACAACCCCAAACAATTTTTTTTAAGTGACCCAGGTTTTTGTTTCTGTTTTTGCTTTTTATACTGAGGATTGAACACAGGGGCATTCCACCACCAAGTTAACCACCACGACTACCACCACCACTTTTTTTTTTTTTTTTTTTTTGAGACAGAGTCTCACCAATTTTCCCAGGTTGGCCTTGAACTTGCCATCTTCCCTGCCTTGTTCTTCAAAAAGAGAGCACAAATGACCAATAAGCACATTAAAAGTGATCCAAATTGTTAGTCTTCAGGCAAATGAAAATTAAAATCATGCAGCCACTAAGGTGTTATAATTAGAACACACAGAAAATAACAAGAATTGAAGAGCAGATAGAGACACTGGAGCCTCAGACATTGGTGGAGGGAATATAAACTGGTGCCGTCTCTGTGGAAAAAAATTTGGCAGTTCAATTACTCACATGATTAAATGCAGGATTGCTCCATGGTGCAACAGCTGCTCAGCAGCATACAGTAGTCTGTGGGTCCCATCCCAGAACCACACACAAAAAAATAAAAAGTGAGTTACTTAACCACTTTCAGGAGTATATCTCCCAAGAGAATTGAAAACACATGTTCATATAAAAACTCGTACATCAATATTCATAGCATCATTATTCATGATAGCCAAAAGTCCCCAACTCTTTTTTATCTTCTGTTGAGTCCTGTTATA